TTTATTTTTTTAAATATTTATTATTTTTATTTTATGTGTATGTATGTATTGCCTGCATGCAGGTAAGTGCACCCGTGTCATGCAATACCTGCGGAGGACAGAAGAGGCTGTTGGATCCCTTGGAACTGGAGTTACGGACACATGTGGGTGCTGGGATTCGAACCTGGGTCTTCTGCAACAACAGTCAGTGTTCTTAACCACTGCGCCATCTCTCCAGCCCCTAATTTAACTTTTAAATGACTACAGTCTGGCCAGTGAGATGTCTGAATAGTAACAGTATCTGCTGCCAAGACCGACAATCTGTACTTAACCCCAGAATCCACGTGGTGGAAACAAGTTGTCCTCTGACCTTCACATGAGGGTTGCGTCATGTTCATGCCCCCCCACGCACATACGTGTGCACAGGTGCACGTAAGAACCTTCCCCCCAAATTTCCTACATTTAAACATTCAAAAAAAGCACTAAAGATTCACATATTTTGAGACATTTTTGAAGCATTGTTTTTTTTTTAAACAACTACCATACTCAAAGACCTTCGGTCAAGTACGGTCCAGTATTGCTCATCCTTGAGTATTTCATATGAACAAGGTGAACAGTCACTTTCGACTTCTCATGAAAAGAAAAGGGCGGGGTTGTAGCTGCTGTCGTACAGATATTTCATATCCAACACAGTGGACGCAGGCAGCTCTGCTGCTGTATTCTATACGACGCTAGATGGGACAAGGCTGTCGTTGGACCTGAAGATTGCATAACCTGTCACAGCTGTGAGATAAAATAGGCAATGATGCATAACATCAAAGTTCAGCTAATATTTAGCTACTAAATTCTCAATATGTGAGATACTCAGTCAAAACACATAAGCCAATGGTCACATTACCTGCTTACCTGAGACCATGGTCTCCATTCATTTGACCTATACTACTTCATCCATTCATTCATCAAATGTTTCCTGATCCTGTGATCCCAAGTCAGGCTATGTGGCTAGGTTACTGAATACAAATAAACATAAATAAAGTAGAACAGTTGCTAGCAACAGGTATCAAAGATCAAACAAAATGTTAGATTTAGCATGTTACCAAACTGCTGTATTTAGTTGTAGGTCTAGCAAAAAGCAGGGGGCTGGTAGAATATTGATTTTTAAGGTGATTTTTAGAAGGATAACTTTAAGAATGTCATTGTCATATTCTAACCTAATGTTTTTCTATTCTGGCCATACACAAAATCACTTGGACAAAAAAAAAAAAAAAACAACAAAAAAGCGGGGATTGTGACCAGTTTCACTTTCCTTAGCCGGGCATGGTGGTGCACGCCTTTAATCCCAGCACTTGGGAGGCAGAGACAGGTGGATCTCTGTGAGTTCAAGGCCAGCCTGGTCTACATAGTGAGTTCCAGAACTACAGGTAGACCCTGTCTCAAAAAGATAAAAAAAAAAAAAATCCTAGGTCTGAATGCCACCCACTGCCAGTTTCTACCCCACCCTTTGTACTGGACCTCTGCACTGTTTACTATCTCTGTTTTAGTCAATCATTGTTTTCAAAGTATAAATGTGCAAACACCAGAACTTCAGTGTTGATTTCTCTCATGTAAAGTCCTCGTTTCTTTCTTTCCTATTCAGTTCTCTCTACATAGAGAGCATACAGGAATATGACCAGCCTAGGCTGGTAGGGGATGGGATGGAATATGTGATGGGAAGGATTCCTGAGTGAGGAGGGATAACATGACATTGAGCAGCTAAAGAACGAAAGACCTATGTTAAGGGAAAGAGTGAGCTAGGGTATGGGAGCACCCTTACAAGGGTTTCTATGTAAGTGAAAGACATTTGGACGTTATCCTCAAAGAGGTTACTGGAAGAATTTAAGCAAGATATTGCCATCCTGGAAGGCAAGGAATAGAAACCTCTAGCAGTAAAGGCCTTGACAGAGGATTCTGTAACCATCCCAGAGATGTGCCCAGTGGCCAAAGACGAGAAAGTTACCATCAATGAGCATAATAGTTACAATAGATTAAGGCAAAATAAATGTCTTTATATCCATGAATTCATTAAGAACATTAAAACACCAATCAATAAGACTCATTTAGGAAAAGAACCCTCTACTTTTCTTGGCATTCTGTGAAGAAAACATTCCCCTCTCCTTACAGTAACCAAATAATTGGTGAGGGAAATGTTCTCTTCACACAAGTGTTCCAGTGACACAACAATGCCCCTTTCATTAGTGAAGAATGGATCTAGGCCATGATCATCAATTTTGAGAGCAGCACAGAAAGACACTGTGTACCTTCTGAAGAAAGTACATGGTCAGGCCCAAGACCTGCCTACCACTTATCAGACAGGGAGAGAGGAGCATGGCAGACATCAACATGCAGGGGCATCATGAACACGCAGGCTGTGGAGAACTGCACAAACAGTGGTACAGGTTCTTCATGACAAGAAAACAAAGGGCTACCAGGGGAACCAAAAGATGGGGAGACACTTAAGCCAGGTCTGTAATCTCATTACTCAGGAGGCTGAGGCAGGAGGATCACAGGTTCAAGGCCTGCCTGACAACTTAGTGAAACCATCTCAAAACTAAAAAAAACAAAAAAATTAAAAGGGCTGTGGACACAGCTCAGAGGAAGAGCACTTGCCTAGGATACATGAGGCCCTAGGTTCAAATGTATGGGGGAAAGAAGGGCAGGTCAGCACCCAAAGAGATCTAATGGCTCTCATTTCAAACAGAAAATGATCAAAAACATATAAATCGGTCAAAAAAAGTGACCAGAGTCAAGAATTATTTTGCTATTTGTATTATTTTATGTAAATGGTATTTAATTATGGTTTTAAAAGTGTTTAAGGTGCTGAAGATAATGAAAGATTTGCAAATAAAATGATGCATCTAGGATTTGCCTCAACCCAGGAGAAGGGTAGGAACATGAGTGGACAGACAGGTCCTGTCCTGACAACTGCTAGCTGTTTGCCGCTGGCCACACAGTTGAAGTCCATGTGTGAAATATAGGCTTGTTTTCTTGCTTAGAGATTCATACAGTAGTCAAGACCAACAGTCCTGCATGCAGTGAAGGGTTGTGCACATACACTAGCTCTTCCCAGAAGGGCACAGGGTCTTCTTTCAGCAGTCCCTCTCTAATACCGCACTGAAGAAAAGGAGGATTTTCTTTCTTTCACTCAGACAAAAACTTGTTATGTAACCCAGAACTCACTGTGTAGTCCAAGTTGGTTTCAAACCTGCCACTCTCCTGCCTCAGCCTCCCAAGTGCTAAGGAGCACTTGTAACCACACTTAGCTAAAAAGGACATTTAGACAGTTTTTTTATTTTAAAATATTTTATTTATTATTTTCATTTTATGTGTATGAGTGTATTGCCTGCATGCATGTCAGTGCACCTATGTCGTGCAATGCCATGGAGGTTAAAAGAGGGCGTTGGATTCCCCTGGAACTGGAGTTAAGGACAGTTTGTAGCCATCATGTGGGTGCTGGGAATTGAACCCGGGTCCTCTGCAAGAGCAGTCAGTGCTCTTAACCACTGAGCCATCTCTCTAGCCCCTCAAAAGGACTTTAAGTAGATTTGACCATGTATTTTATTGTGGCAAATTAAAAAGTGTCTTATTTCCACATATTAATTTTATTTGAAGCATGACTCAGTGCTCAGTATTTCCATTTAGTATTCAAAAAAAAAAAGTTTTTTTTGTTGTTGTTTTGTTTTCTTTGTGACAGGGTCTCCCTGTAGTCCCAGCTGGCCTGGACCTCGCCATGTAGACCAGGCTGGCATTGAACTCACAGAGACCCGCCTGTCTCTACCTCTGAGTGCTGAGATTAAAGGTGTGTGCCTGCCTGGTTTCAAAAAAAAAAAAGTCTTTTTAATGCAACTATACCTGCTTTGGAAAAAGTGTAACATTTAAAACAAATAATTTTTCTATAAAGACATTGTATATGCCAAAAATAAGAAAAAAACCTAGCTCACTGGATTTGATAAAATGTTGATTAACAGCATCTAATCTATAAAAACTTTAACTTAAAAGATCTTTTGTTTTGTGACAGGGTCTTACTACAAAGCCATGGCTGGCCTGGAACTAGCTATGTAGAACAGGCTGGCTTCTAACGCTACCAGTCTCTGCCTCCCAAGTGCTGGAATTAAAGGTGTATGCTGCCATGTCTGGCACAAAGATCTTATTTGTAAAACAAGGCTACAGATGCTGCTGTCAAATGTAAGATCAAACATTTAAGACATCTTAATGTGTAACAGCCTCACCTTCTCTTCCTGCCTCACCTTCCTCCTTTCGTATCTTCCTCTTCCTCCTCCTTTCTGAGACATTTCACACTAGAGCCAGGCGAGCCTTGAACTTGCAGTGATTAGCCTGCCTCAGCCTCTTGAGCACTGGGATCATACCTGGCACAACTTTTTCATAATAATCTTTAAAAGGGATTCCCTAAACCTAAGAAGTTTTGGTGAAATTTGTCAATTGACAAAACATGGTTAATTCCAAAGATACTACTAGGCTTTTGGACTTAAGTATTATTTATATGAAAGGGTACTCAGGTATTTTATGTAAATACGTGCTGAGTTTTAGTTTACTACTGGCCACACAGTTGAAGCCTATGTGTGAAATGTAGGCTTGTTTTCTTGCTTGGGGAGATCCACACAGAAGTCGAGACCCACAGTCCTGCAGGCAGCGAAGGACTGTGCACAGTACCGCTTGCTCTTCCAGGAAGGGCATGGTGGCCTCCTTTCAACAGTCCTTTTCTACCTCCTTCCTTTCCATTATCACGGGTCTGGCTCTTTAGGCTTTGCTAGTAATTACGAGTTACAGCCTAACACTGCTTTGAGAATGCTTTTCTCTTATTCTTAACCAAGAAGCAGAATCACAGAGAGTAGCCACAGCAGAAGTTAGTCCTGTCCTTAACAAGTAATGAAACTTCCTCCCACAACCCAACCCTTATCCTGTAGCAGGCCAGAGCTATCTGAACACTTCAAAAGTGCTTCTCTTTAACAGGGCGCCAGGCTTACCTTCAGATCAAGGCTGCTAAGGCTTACAACGTCATCGTCTTTCTCTCTTCGTTTTCTTTTCTATTAGAAGAAAAAAGAGAGACCTGATTCATATATACAAGTACATATTACCACATTAAACAAGGACTCCATGCAACTAGGAAAAATCACTTCAAGGGGCTGGAAAGATGGCTCAGTGGTTAAGAAGCTAGCTGCTCTTACAGGGGATCTGAGTTCAATTCCCAGTACCCAGCTTACAACTGGCCTCTAACTTCAGCTCTAGGGAATCTGATACCCTCTTCAGGTCACCTCAGGCACACATGTGCACATACATACACAGACAACAGACACATAAATCAATAATAAATTTAAAAAAATCACTTCAAAAAAGAAAATTATTTTGATTAGGGAGATTCATAAATTATCTCTGGAATACACACTGCCTAAATAGTACCTTCTAAGTGTTCTCTTACTGTGAGGTGATTCTACCCTACAAAAAAACCTTGTTTATGTGAAGTTTTCAGGCTAGAACTCTTATAAGTTATGAGCCTTCTGTACTTGGCATAGGAAAAACAAATATACTTTATATGGAAAGGCAAGAGGGTTGGTTTTGTTTTACTTATTTTCATTTCCTGTGTATGAGTATTTTGCCTGCATGTATGTTAGTTGGATCCCCTAGAACTGGAGTAATGGATGGATGGGAGCTGTTATGCGGGTGCTGGGAACTGAACCCAGGTCCTCTGAAAGAATAGCCAGTTCTCTTAACTGCTGAGCCATCTTTCTAGCCCCTGGATGTTGTTTTTAAGGAACTTACTATTTATCCAGGGGTAAGGGGAAAACATCTTTTTCTCACAGTCCAAACTAAGATTTGCAGCGTAAGCAGGATTTATGGACTGGAAGATGTGCTGCCCTGTCCCTCCAGTACTCGGTAATCATTCTGCGCCGGTGGTGCTGGTGGTCGCTTAACTATGTACTTATCACTTCCAGTTCTCAATCAAAACTGAATAAACACCCTTAAGTGGCATTTCATCATTCCACCTCTCAAAATAACTGTCACATTACCTGTGACAACTCTTAACACTAACAGTTTGAAGGCTCTCTTCTGGTTCTTGGCCCCAGAGAGAAGAAACTGCTGGGAGTCTAATCACAACTAACAGAATTGAAAGAAAAGAAAAAAGGAAAGGTAACATCTAGAGAGATGGGGTAAGTGAGCCAGGAGCAGAGAGCAAACCTCCATGAAGGCGAGAGGAGCTGTGGGAAGCCAGAAACTCGGCCAGACCAAGCCTCCCCGTGAGAGAGGAGAAAGACAAAACTACATTTAAGTAAGCAATACTCTCAAATTCAAATCCTATATAAAAATGCACTCTTAAGAAAGAGAGTAAAAGGCAGAGTACCATTGATTACCAGAAAGAAACCCTCAAAGCAGCAAACCATATGACAGCATTTCCAACTGAGTGCAAACAACGGTCAGGCAACGGTATCAGAAATCAGGAACACTACAAATCAGAATTGGGAAAAACTTCAAAACCACACATGACAGAGCCCAGGCTCATGTCCAGTAAATGCAGAAAACTATGGACAATGTGGTCACAGTTTTGCAAAGGCAGCTAGCCAAAACTCCTGCACACTTCTGTGTAGGACCTTCGGTATTAGTAAAACATATGAGCAAAATACAGAACAGTACACATGGGAGTTGCTGACATGGCTAGAGGCTGGAGGTGGAAGGATGTGTGGGGAAGGAGCGAGAATGGGGAGGAAACCGTCAAGCAAACCTTTAATATAGGAGAAGCACGTGCAGGCTCATATGCGACAGTGAACAGGTGTGGGGATGTGCACAGAGAGACCCACCAGGTTGAGACATTCTACTGTAGCTCCTTTTCAATACTGAGGCTTTGTCTCCTAAGTCTATGTGGAATTTGCTTTTGTATGTGGGATGCATTCATACAGTCGGTTGCTCCCTCCCAGCCCAACACTATTTGCGGAGAGCCCCTCCACTCCTTGTGCTGGTGATAGAGAAAAATCTCGTACTACGTGGGTGTTATGATTTGGATATGAAGTGTTCCCCCAAATGCTCATGAACTGTAGGCTTGGTCCTGATGCAAGCTAAGTTCAGGGTTGGGACTTTGGATCATGAGGCTTCTACCTTTGGTGACTAATCCATCGATGGATTCAAAATATGAAAGGACTACTAGAGGGTAGTGGAAATGTGGACAGAGGCACCTAGTTGGAGGAAGTCAGTTACTAGGTGTGTACCTTGGAAAGACTTCCCCTTACTTTCTGTCTCTCTCTGCTTCCTGCCTGCCATGAGATGAGCAGAGTTGGTCCCTCTCTCTGCCTTGATGCTCTGCCTCACCACAGGCCAGAAACAAGAAGCCGCTAACCACAGACTGGAACCTCAGAAACAGTCAACTAAAATGTTCTTCCTGTCAGGCTGTTCTTTCAGGTATCTAGTGTCACAGTGATAGAATTCTGACTAACACAGTTGGGTCAGTTTCCTGAGCCCCAAGTTTCCAAATTTGTATACCTCTGTTCTGGGCCCTACTTCCAAGTAAACTGTAGAATGAAGTTTATTATCAGAACTCTTTTACAACTGTACCAAATATGAAGCAATTTGTAGAGAAATAACATTTAAAAAATTATTTATGTTTTAATTTTTTATTTTATGTGTATGAGTGTTTTGCCTGCATGCATGCAAGTATAACACATGTGTACAATGCCCGTGGAGGCCAGAAGTGGACATTGGAGCCCCAGGAACTGGAGTCATAGAGGGTTGTGAGCTGCCATGTGGGCACTGGGAACCAAACCTGAGTCTTCTGGAAGAGGTTAAGAAACCAGTGCTCTTAATGCTGAGCCATCTCTACGGCCCCTGAGAACTGACATATTTTATGATCATCTTTCCATTCAGTTAGGTCTTCTGTGTTTGTCAATGTTTTCTAAATTTCTCAATAAACGTTGCACACATCTTTTCATGGATTTATTTCTATCAAATTTGTTCCTATTTTCTATAATGAAAGTGTTTTAAGAACATTATATTTAACCAGTCATGGTAGCACACACCTGTAATCCTAGCATATGGGGAAGGATTAGGCAGAAAGGATCAGAAATTCAAGGCTATAATAGTGAGCAGCTGAGTCATGTGTGGCCCTCTCTCAACCCCCCTAAAACAAACGAACAAACAAAAGTTAGACTGTTTATTACTGGCAGACACAGATCATTCTGGATTCAACTTTTATTAATAGCCGCTCCTAACATTCTGTTGTATATCCAACACAGACGGTCGTATGGTCTGTAAGCAGTGAAGCCTCTGTCTTTTCTGTCTGTGGACCATTTGTTTCCCTTGGTGCACTATTTTATCCTACTGTGCTGCCGAGCAGACGTGACAGCAGCTTTTTATCCACCGTCAGTCTCTACACCTGTTGTTAGAGGTAGGTCTCAGGCTCAGGAAACCCTCACTAGTCCTGGTTTGACAAGAGTTTTATCGTGATTAGGCCCTGATTTCATTTTTGCCCATTCTGGCCCTCCTATTTTTTAAAGTTGACTTTGCCACTCCTTTTCTAAACCCTTGAGTTAGATGCACACTTTTTGTTCTTTTCCTTTCTCAAACTACATATTTAAAAGTTATGAACCTTAGTATTTCTTAATCATATTCTAGAAATTTGATTTCTTCTTTTTTTATTTGTTTTAGTTTATGCATATGAGTGTTTTGCCTGCATGTATGTAAGTATACCACATGTGTGCAATGCCCATGGAGGCCAGAAGAGGGTGTTGGATCTCCTAGAACTGGAGTTATGGCCCATTGTTAGCCACCATGTGGGTCTGGGAACCCAACCTGGGTCCTCTGCAAGAGCAGCCAGTGCTCTTAATTGCTGAGTCAACTATCCAACCCCTGTTCCAAAAATTTTAAGGCATGTGATAGCTCTTGCCATAGGAGAGCTCTATTAAAGTGTTTTCCCAAGTGGGATGCACTCATCAGAATGGGCTCTAAGACACTGTCTTTGGAGTACAGGAGGCAAATGTTAGAACCACTCTTTAAAAAGCTTTCCTAATAATTAATGTGCAGATGATAAATATGTCATCATTCACATTGTAAGGATAAAACAATGGTGAACTGGTCAGATTCAACAAGTCACCCCCAACCTGAAATTGCCATGGCCATTTGAAACACAGATGTATGCCCACTGTCGTGAAGCTTACCGTAAGTGAATACTGTATGCTGAGGTATTAGCTAACAATGGCAATACATACATATAATTTATAAATAAGTATACCAGGGGTACATGCTCAAAATGTTTTTGCTGTCAGGTTTATACAATTAAAAAATATGGAGACCCATTTCTACTATGAGTTTTTCCATTTAAGATTAGGCTTACTGTCTATGAAGAAAAGGCTCAAGATGGGAAATGCTTCAGTTGAAAGGATAGATTGTGCTAAAATCAGGAGACTTTTGTGATGAACACTTTTCTGGCTACATGACACATGTAATGGGTACAAAAGCACAGGAATGTCCAAGAGAAATAAGAATTAAATATAAGCAGAATACAGATTAATCATGTCTTGCTCAGTCCGTCTGAAGATCAAAACATACACACCAGGGAAAGCAGAAACCAAATCATTTTTGCTATTTCCCTCAAATAAGAAAAGCATAATGATTATGATTTACTTACATATGTACTATGATGCAATAAGTTTTAAGTATAGAAAGAATCAATTTTCTTCATCATGCCACAGAAAATTAAATGCCTGTAAATTCTTGCCATAAAAATGGTGAGGTGTCCCTCCACTCTGAGAAGACCAACAGGAAGGTACCACTCATTTCACACATGTATATAAGTGTACAAACCTATAATCAAGCATTTATGTATTTTCAATACAGTACAAAAGCTGTCCAAGGATATCATAAACATAACTTCATGTTTCATAACACCCTCAGATTTAATACCAGGTAGGAAGAACAGAAAGGTTAGTTAAGAGGAGTTCATGAATACTTTGAAAAATATATTTTATTTACTTGAAATAAAACTTTCTTTCAGATTGTCAAAAAAAAAAAGGACTAAATCAGGCTGCCAATATGGCTTCAGAAATTCTGTTTCTTGAGATACTCAGAAGTACAACTGAGTCACACTACAGATTGAAAGACCACCAGGAACTGAGTCTATGTAATGTCTTGAAATGGAAACCCAGGTATCTACTCACCAAAGTGAAGTCCCAGTGAGGGCCAGGTGTCAAAAATGTGAAGGAGCTGCCTCTCCGTAGGGAGTATCTATTGACAGAAAAATGCATACAATAAATAGAGAAACTCTGGTATAGTAAGGAACTAGAGGCAGAGAAAAAGGTCTTTTCTATAGATTCAAAACTACTTAAAGTAGCCTGATTCAGAGGCAGTGGTGGGAGGGCATGCACATCCTCAGGATCGTTACACTGAAGTGAAGACAGAACTATTAAAAGAATTTTCCAGAAGAAATTGGAAAGATGGTGGTGGAATGAGGCATAGCTGGCCTCTGGGCCTGGGCCTGGGCCTGGGCCTCCAGTGCCCAAGAGACTGAAAGTGTGCCTTGCACCACGTGAGGAACCTTATCACACAAGGTGAATATTTACCTGACCATAGGTACTTCTACACTGACCTCAAAATTCTCAACTCAGGACTTGACAAGTAAGAAAAAAATAATTGGAGAGCCAAGACAGCAGCACGGCTGGAGCATGGTGGTGATGACAACTCTCGCCACAAGGATTTAAACCATGATGCTGTATGGGGCGGGTCGCTGGACCCCCGGCGTGGTGTGTGCGGGCACCTTGGGGTCTCCGCCACACCTGGCTAGTCCCGGTGTAAGTCTGGCCGCAAGCGATGTGGGGAGTGCGCCTGGGCTCCCGGGCGCAGTCACTCTGGATGTGGCCCAGGGTCAGGTGTGCATGCACTCTCCCACCGTGGTTCTGGTCCCGCTGGCTAGCTGCCAGCTGGCGGGCCTGGCCGGCCGTGCCTCTCTGGAGACGGCAGGTGCGAAGACTTCTCTGATGCTGGCTGTAGCTGATAGCTACACACTTCTCTGGAGCGGAGAGCTTCTTCTGCTACTAGAGTATTATCTAGTCGAGATCCCGCCTCTATTACACCCTTGTGCCCTTCCTCAGGATTGCGGAGTCCTGGCCAGTGAGCTCCACCGGGAAGAAGCACGGAGGCGGCGAAAGCTGGGGTATCCGTGGGTCGGTAACGGAGAGTGCTGCTCTCCGGTGAGATCAGGTCGCCGGTAGTAAGACACAGGACTCAAGACATGGCTTAGTCTGTGTTTACTGCTTTATTGTATCTCTGCTCCTTGCTGTCCAGCGCTCTGCTGATCCAGCTTTCTGGGACCCAATCT